GCTATGTTGTAGAAACTGAGTTTCCAAGACGAAAGTTTGTCAATTACAAATCAATTTTAGTCGGAAGTAGATCTGATCGGTCTTAATTCGGCTTGATTTCATCTCTAATCGTAGGCAGTGATAGTGTTATCACCACTAGTTCAAAAAGTTTGAATTTTTTTGTTAAATTCACTACCTTTTCTTGTATCTCTTTGTGATCATAGACTCATAGTGATGTAGGCTTTGGAACTTAGTGAGTGAATTTTTTCCCATTGTTAGTTTTCTTCTTTCTCTACTGAGATATATAATTCTCTCTACTAGGTAGATCGGTTCTTTGATGGGATGCGACACCAAATCGCTAAGGGTTGTGAAGCCATCAACTATTAGTACGTGCTATATTCAGAATAAAGATCATGGCTTCTTCTGGACTGGGAAACGGAGTAGGCAGTTCGAGATCTGCCAAAGGTGTAAAGACCTCTTCTAGTTCAGTCGATTGGTTGACGAGAGATTTGGTTGAGATGAGGATAAGGGACAAGGTAGAGACTGATGACGAGAGGGTAAGTCTTGCATTCCTTATTTGCTTTGTGTCTCTTTTTCATGTTTATTATACTGTTTTTAGATTGGCTACCTTATCACGAGCTAGCTTATCTATGTTATGGAGTCGCTTACAGTGTGTGAGGCTTTTGTTATGTTGCAGGATAGTGAACCAGATATTATTGATGGGGCTGGTACTGAACCTGGCAATGTGATTAGAACAACAGTCCGTGGACGAAATGGTCAATCAAGACAGGTTGGATTGCTATGGACAGTTGTGTGTGTAAATTGGTAACGTTGTTATCTAACTCTTTCTCATATAAATGTTTATCTGGATTGGCAGACAGTCAGTTACATATCAGAACATGTGGTCGGTACTGGTTCCTTTGGCATGGTTTTCCAAGTAAGTTAAACTAACATCCCTGATGCCTTACTATTGATTTGGGTCCATTCCCCATGCATTTATGTTTTCCTTCTGGTAGGCCAAATGTAGGGAAACTGGGGAGATTGTTGCCATCAAGAAGGTTCTACAAGACAAGCGTTACAAGAACAGGGAGCTACAAATTATGCAGATGCTAGACCATCCCAATGTTGTTGCTTTAAAGCATAGCTTCTACTCAAGAACAGATAATGAAGAGGTTTATTTGAATCTTGTCCTTGAATTTGTACCCGAGACCGTCAATCGTGCTGCGAGAAGTTACAGTAGGATGAACCAGCTGATGCCATTGATATACGTCAAACTCTACACCTATCAGGTAATTATTTCCTGGATTTGGACTTTTGTAGTTTTTGTTTCATGAATCGTCGTAGGCACTCACTTAAATTTAAGGCTCATTCCGTTTCACTGAAGATATTAGTATCAATAAATTTTGCCTTCTATGTATGTCAACTGGATTCTTGTGGCTCTTCCCGGAATAAGTGGGTAGAAAGACTAGGTGGATGTAACCTGATTCTAGTTGATCCTGTGATAAAAATTTCAGACTAGTTTGCAATATACCCTTGGAAGTCGAAAGAGACTATTGGACAGTTAATTTTCACCATATTTTTGGAAGGTCCGCTCTGTGCACAGGAGACATTTAACCATCTATGTACCGTATTTCAACGCTTCTGCATCTATATTTCCGTGTTTCGAGACATTGCTTCAACATCTGTGTTTGTTGGAAAATGCTTCAAAGCTTTTTCACTTTTCCTTCTATGATATTTTTCCCTTCCAAATTATAACCTCTGACTCCCTTTCTATGAGTTAACAGCATGAGACCATTTTTGATTTCTTCAAAATCTTATTCTGCACGTGTTTGTATATCTGTGTGTTAATATTGTAATGCATTGAAAATGTATGCCTGACTGATAATTTTCTTGGAATTCTCCATAGATTTTTGACAATATTTTGTTAATTGTTACAGATTTGCAGGGCTCTTGCTTACATTCATAATTGCTTTGGTCTTTGTCACCGTGATATTAAACCTCAAAACCTGCTAGTAAGTTCATGTGTAATCTCCCTATTTCAAAAGAAATTTATAACATATGGCAGTTTCTTTGCTGTGACATAATTCTATTTGGCTCTTTTCTAGTTTCTGAGTTCTTTGCCTCTACAAGTAGGGAATATACATACACTGTCGTATATTCTTTACACTTTATAATGTCATACTAGGTTTAGATTCTGACTTGATAAATATATGATTATAACATGCTTCGAGTTCTACAACGAGGCTCTGTATACTGTTAATGTCATTTACAATCTTTACAGTGGTACTAGGCTTCTCTTTTCGAGTTTATATCATTGAGAAATGCTAGAAGTTGTTTAAATGAACTGGTTTAAAGTAACATGTCTGCACCTAATTAGACTTTTTATTTGAAATTGTCTTGTATTAAATTAACTGCATTTAGATTTGACTTTAGACCTGTTGTTGTGCAGGTGAACCCACATACGCATCAGCTAAAAATATGTGATTTCGGGAGTGCAAAAGTGTTGGTAAGGTTAATTGACATAGTTTTTAACGAATCCGTTTGTGGAATATAACAAAAACTCATTTTCTGTAGGTGAAAGGAGAACCCAATGTTTCTTACATCTGTTCTAGATACTATCGTGCTCCAGAACTCATTTTTGGCGCCAGCGAATACACAACTGCAATCGATATATGGTCCACTGGTTGTGTGATGGCTGAATTGCTTCTTGGCCAGGTTAATGCAAAATGTTTGTTTAGCTATATGCTTTTTTTTGTGCTATTCTTTCTGTTTCTTCCCTCTCTTACTCCTGTGTCCTTACTAATTTATCGTACAGCCTCTGTTTCCTGGTGAAAGCGGAGTAGATCAGCTTGTTGAAATCATTAAGGTAGCCTTCTGTTAAATCTTCAAAAGTATGTTTCAAACATTAGAGAAAACCACTTGTCTTGGGCTTGCAGTGACTGACAAGTGTTTAGAGAACTTTTGCTTACAAGTTGTTCTTCTATTTCTTTGTATCAGACTATGACATCAGCTTGTTTGCAGATTGTCAATTTTATGTCTTAATGAATACCATGCCTCTGTGTCACAATTTTTTACGTCTATTGTTGAGTTCATATTCAGTATAAAAGAAAGCAAATTTTTAATTTAGAGCAAATCTCTTGTCTTGGGCTTGCAGTGACGGATATGTTTACAAGCTGTTCTTCTATCTTTACGTATCAGACTATGGCATCAGCTTGTTTGCAGATTGTCAACTTTATATCTGAATGTTGAGTTCATCTTCATGAATGTTGACTGCTCAGTTTAAGTAGAGAATGCACCTCAAGCTCTTCTCGGCAACCTTATTTTCCTATTTCGTGTGCTTTTATGTTTCATGCAGGTTTTAGGTACACCAACAAGGGAGGAAATCAAGTGCATGAATCCAAACTATACAGAATTTAAATTCCCCCAGATAAAACCTCATCCATGGCACAAGGTATGCCTTCTAGTGTTACTGATTATCACCTACCAGGATATTCTTTAAATCAGTGGTTTTGTTGATAAAATGGTATATCTTGTGTTTGTGATGGTTTTGGAGTATGAATCAATTCAAGAGTATGCCTCAAAAATTAATGTTGTCATTAGGTTTTCCAAAAACGTTTACCACCAGAGGCGGTTGATCTTCTATGTAGGTTCTTCCAATATTCCCCTAATTTGAGATGCACAGCTGTAAGTGATCCATGGTTTTGTGCCCTTCATTGTGTATAATATACTTTCCGAATGTTTCAAATCAAGATCTACGGTTATAAAAAACTGTGTTCTTGTAGTTGGAAGCTTGTATTCATCCGTTATTTGATGAGCTAAGGGATCCAAACACTCGTCTTCCCAATGGCCGGCCACTTCCTCCTCTTTTCAACTTCAAACCTCAAGGTACCGTTCCATTATCTGTTGGAAACAGAACAGCTTGTAGGCTGGTAAATCGTACTACTTGTTGGACCTCTTAAGAGACCTAACATACATGTTATTTTGTGTTCTGCAGAGCTATCTGGCATCCCTCCTGAAATCGTGAACCGGCTTGTTCCAGAGCATGCCCGTAAACAGAACCTCTTCATGGCTTTGCATGCCTAGGACGCTTATCTGTTTCTTTTATTTTATTTTTTGCTTCTGTACAAGCTATCTTGATATCAGTATTTGGAGCAGCCAGTGGCCATTTTACGGCCTCTTGGCT